GCTCCTGTACCTGAACATAAGGAGAAGGAGGGGGCTATTACATGCAGGGCTGCCTTTTTCAGCAGCAGCCCCGTGTGTCTACATACCAGACACAGAAGCTCAGCTGTAGGGATGACTGTTACCATTGTGCAGGACTTGTGAGTTCCCACAGACACATGACTGGGCCCTGAATGCTGGGCTAGGCTTGTACTGATGGTTTGGTAGCCATTCTACAAAAATTAGCAAATGACTGTGGGCAGGTGAAAATCAGTGTAGTCACATGACAATACCCTTCTTAGAGTACTGAGATTTAGTAGCAGATGTTCCTCAGAAACACATTCAGTTGGATGTGTTTGGGGTTTTTTCCCCTCTATAGCAGCCTTCTCCAACTTGGTGGCCTTCAGAGGCATTTGAACCATGGTTTCCAGAATTCCCATCCAGCAGGGTCATTGACTGGGAATTCTGGGTGTTGCAGTCCAAATATACCTGGAAGGCACAAGATTGAGGAAGGCTGCTCTGTAGCATAAGGTCGCTTCTCTACCAAACATATATCTATAAGTACAAGAAGGTGCATAATAATTATTTCTACCCTGCCTTAAAACAAGCCCTCAAGAGGCAATTTGCTATAACTTGTGGGGAAATAACATAATTAAAACAACATTGGGTAAAATTATAAATAGAAAACAAGCAAAAAAATCAGTAACTATCTTGGCAGTATTTTTTAAAAAGTCAGGCTGCAAAGGGGTGGGCAAGTGACATTTTCCGAAAGGGTAATTCCAGTGAGTAGAGGGTCATCTACTTAGAGGGTTATCTACTTAAGATATGAGAATAATCAAGTATAATATATTTAGTATCATATGTGGCTAGTAAACATAGACCACCATTAGAGTAGGTTTTGTGTCATCTTTGATGCCCTTTAATGTCATCCTCTCCATTTTCACCAGGATTTTCTTCCCCTTAAGGGAACATACCCATTTGCAGTTTAACAATCTGTTTGTGTGTGGAACTGTTTTCCCTGAATTCCTGTTTTGTGGTTTGTCCTCGCCACTGTTTCCTTTAAAAAAAATAATTAAAATGGCAGAATTGCTTCAGATTGTTGTTCAGCAATAAAACTGAATCAGCTAAGCATGCAGGTCTTTGCACAAAACACATTGTTCTCTCTTTCAAAAAAAAACATATCACACAAATAAAAAGCAACACATGTGCTTGTGTATACATGGAGCGGAGAGGGAGAGAGTTGTGGTGTTTTTCCGGAGTTTGTCAAGGCAATTCCAAATGTAGTTGTTATGCTTTGTACAACGGAGTACATCACTGCTGTCTTTTTCAGTTAAAACAAGCCACAAGCTTGGTTCTGCAGAAAAGATTTTTGTTGACGCAGCCTTTTCAGACCTTTCCTATTTAAAATCAATACAGTGAATCCTTCCTTTTACATTTCCAACCCCTCTGAGTGTGCATAATTTGTTGCTTCTGATATCCCTCCTTTGCCCATAAAATCTTCTTAGCAGGAAAAGGGGAAAGCTACAATATATGTTCAGCTGGGGTTTTTTATGCTGCTTTGTTAGAATGTATTGGTTAGCATGAATAGTGGTGATATATGGAGTAAAAAACTTGACTTGGGTTGTTTATAACGATCACAAGAGCTGATATATGAACACACTTTATTACTTGATTGCCACATTAATTGAGGATTTGCATGTGTGAATGGCTGTTAAAAATATATAAAGATCATTTTATAGCAGCCTTATAGCAGCCCGAACTGCAGTGCTTTTCAGTGGGGTTGGTTTATTCAGCTGCAAGTTATTGTGATGTCCTTGAGCAGCAGAACCAGCCTGTTAAGTGAATATTTTGTGATAATTTTAGTGCATTTTATCATAAACAACTCTATGTGACACCCCCTCCAGTATATATAGATGGTGCTGCTAATAAACTGCGTTTGCAGGAAATCAGTAATTATGTACTAATTCATATATGCATTAATTGATTTTTTAAAAAATGAAACAGTTTGAGTCTTTACTTATTTATTCCATAGCCACAAAAGCCTGACTGCTTTATGTTTTACAGTTGACCATTTTTTTACCCCAGAATATTGTCTGCACAATACAATAGCTGAAAAGCTGGCCATGTGCATGCCTTTATTTACACAAGTATGTGCTAATTCGGGATTATTGTTAGTGTACAGTAATGTTACTCTCAGCACAAATCAGCATCCCTATGGTGAGTTTTCCCTCACTATGTGGTATTTAGGTTAGTACAATACACTTGAGGTTTCAGCATTTGCATGATAGATTTCTCCCCTTATTATTCACCTCCTTGTCATGGAGTAAGGAAGCTCATCACTTGAAGCCACCACTCCTTCAGAATGGGTTGCACTGTACAAAATGATGGGGGCAGGGAGTCACCCCATGGAAGTTGAGCTGTGGCAAGTGTGGCATTATAGGCCAGTTCTAAGGTTGGGTGTGGATCTCTCCGTTCTGTAATGGAGAATGCAAGTTTCTTGTGAAACCTCAAGCTAATAGGTAAAGCTGTAGTCCCAGTCATGGACAGTTGCTTATTTGTTCTGAATTTTATTTAATTCCTTGATTCAATTTCTTCTATAAATGTAGTTATTGTCCTCCCCCGCTCCCCCAGTTTTGTTTTGCTTTTTTGTTTTTAGTACTGTAGTAATTTTAACAAACCTGAAATTGCAGACTCTGCTAAGCAGCTTAGCTGTTGAAGCACAGTTTGCAGTTAAATCTGGCACTGGCTGGCACAACAAGCCTTTAAACCATTATTAAGTAGTCTAAAAGTCCTGAAAAATTTCAGGGTATTAACAAAAAAGAGTTGTGTCATGCCATAGCCTTTACCCAGAACATTGAGAACTTTGCTTCTCTGTTTCCCTTCCTGAATTTTTAAGATGTGTATGAATTGCTAACACAGGCTGTATTTACTTTGATTTTACCACTAGTACCAAGGAAGTGTAGCGCAACCCACAAATAGATGTTTTGGCTGCCAAAGTCTATGTTGGTTTCCTGTCTGCATGTAGCTGCTGTGTTTGTGACTCAACGATTTCAGCTTGGCTTATTGTTAAGATTGTTAGTCATAACAAATAATGCATAGCTTGCAGTCACGATTCAGCAACAAAACAAAAACCTGGCACCATAAGTCATCCTAATAACAGTAAGCTACTCAGTATTTTGTACTTCAAATAAGCATTTTTTAAAAAATCAATATCAACCATCATAATTGGGCATAGTTAGAGCATGTCTATTCTAGGCTGCAACCTTTCACTCTTCCTGGAAACCTTGAGAAATGTAATTCAGAGGTGGTGGTAAATCTTTCCAAAAAAAAAAAAAAAATTGCCCTCACTCAACCCTAATTCCCAGGGTCCTTTGGGGAAATTTCATAACCCCATGATGGTTACACTATTATAAAACCAACTATAGTTTGTACGTTAGATAATGGCACAGTGGGTTATAAGAATGTGCTTTGTGCCTAGAGTCCCCTGGTTCAAATCTTACACCTAAAACTGGAAAAATGGGGGCGGGGGGATGCTTAGGCAGATCACTCTTCTCAGAATCCATAATTTATTCCTATACTGTCCAATATCTGAAACTGTCTGGGAGGTATGCACCAGTTCTCTAAAACAGGACCATAAAACAATAAGCAACAGTAAAAAAAACCAGGAGACCACATTTAAAAACAATTTAAAAGCTAAAGTTTTTAATCACAAAGTACATCTGTTAAAAACACCCTCCATCAAGCCAGTGTCCTTGTGTGTCTTCACATGCCAAAGCACAAAGGGCTGTCTTAACCTGGGTCCAAAAGGATGACAGAGTGTCTCCTGGGGCCTCAGTGGGAAGATTGTTCCACATTTGGAGGGATGCCACTTTAAAAGGCCCTTCCTCTTATTTCCACTCTCTGACCACCCCAGGCTCCCTTATGGTACTGAAGCGTATAGCACTGGCCCAGGTCAGTGTAATGACTTCAATGCTTTAAGGCCTTCGAGCGATATGGGGAACTGGTAGAATTGTTTACCCATGGTGGGTTGTAGTGTCATCTGAACCTGGATATAGGGAATTAGCAGCAGAGCCTCTTGGCAATAGTTGTGGGGGAGGGGGAGATCTTGCTGTTTCCTCCCAGATGACCACCAGTACCAGCCATCCTTAAAGTACCCAAGGGGTACATGTAGACAGGTAGCTGCAGTTTACTCCCACAAGGATTCCCCTTGGCCTTTTTTCCCTGTATTTTCCCCCCAGGAGATCATGAAAGCTGGCTCTCAGACTCACCTTTGCAATCCCCATTTGTAACAGCTGTGAACAGTCCCTTCAAAGTGGCACCTTGGATGGACTTCCTGTGGTTGCCAACTTTAAAAAACAAATGGTTCCACAAAATTTTCACAAATATTTGCAAAAAATATTTTAATTGTTTAAGTTGCACTTGTGTAGGTGGATGCAGAAAGTGGAATATCATGAAGGGAACTGCCCTGCGGCTATTCCATGTGCGTGTTTTTTTATTCCCATGCAAATGCTGATTCTGAATTGCTTTTGTTACTAGAGAGACAACATTTAATTTAATTTTCACTCCCTCTGCATTATGAAGGTTGGCTGCATTATGACGAATCCGGCTTAAAAAGCAGTCAAGAAACAATCTGTTACAAGTTTAGATCACTTGTGATCCAGAAAGCTAACTGCAGCATAACATTAAGATATGTCAGCCTCCATGTTGGCTTGATAAATGACCTGGGTTTTGCTTCTGCCTCAAGGCTCCAAAAAACCAAGACAGTTTTTCAGAACCCCTTGTAGGCCACCAAGATAAGATTCCTAAGCAGTGATATTACATGGCTATGCGCATTTTTAAAGGCGGATTGTACCCATGTTTTCCTAGTTGCAATGACACTCACCTTGATCATCATATGGGCTCAAATTACATTAGAAATCTATGGTTTATGTGACTTCTTTAGGCTCTTGCGAGGCTGTCTCTTTGTACAATTGCTCCCTCTGCTGGACCATTCTAAATATTAAACACCCCCTTTTCTCTTCTAGGACGTACAGGAAGGTATACCTTAATAGAAAAATGGAGAGATACAGAGAGGCACCTGGCACCTCATGAAAACCCGATAATTTCTTTGAACAAATGGGGACAATATGCGAGTGATGTGCAGTTAGTGTTGCGGCGTACTGGGCCCTCTCTCAGCGAGAGACCAACTTCTGACAGTGTTGCTCGGATACCAGAAAGAACTTTGTATCGTCAGAGCTTGCCCCCACTGGCCAAGCTAAGACCTCAGAATGACAAGTCAATAAAAAGGAGGGAGCCCAAAAGGAAATCTTTGACTTTCACAGGAGGAGCGAAAGGATTAATGGACATTTTCGGCAAAGGCAAAGATTCTGAATTCAAGCAGAAGGTTCTCAATTGCAAGGCAACTGTTGATGAGTTGAAGAAACTGATCCACCTTCAGACTGAGAAGCTACAGTCTATTGAGAAGCAGTTGGATTCAAATGATGCTGAAATCAAATACTGGGAGCAGAGATTCAGTTACAGCTTAGAAGATGAAATTGTCAAACTGGAGCAGAAGATCAAACGGAATGAGGTGGAAATCGAGGAGGAGGAATTTTGGGAGAATGAGCTCCAGATTGAGCAGGAAAATGAGAAGCAGCTGAAGGAACAGCTCCAAGAGATCCGACATAGGATTTTGGACTGTGAAAGCAAACTGAAGGAGTATGTGGCCCAGATTCATGGTATGGAAAGTGGCCTTGAGGCTGAGAAGTTACACCAGGAAGTGCAGGAGTCAAAAGTGAATGAAGAAGAAGTCAAAGAGAAGATTGAAAAAGTGAAGGGGGAGATTGATGTTCAGGGGCAGCAAAGTGTCCGGCTGGAAAATGGCATCAAAGCTGTTGAAAGGTCTCTGGGCCAAGCCACCAAGAGGTTGCAGGTGAGACCATTGTCATAAGTGGACAAGTTTTAATTTTTGAGAACTCAGCTGAACCAAATGCTTCCTTTAGTTGCATTTTATCCATGTTATACATGCACTAGTCCAGTCTTTTTGTCTTGTGACACCCTCAGTATGTCTGCCCTTGGAATAAAGATGAACTATACATAATGGTAGAGATGTTCTCCTGGAGCAGGCATAATGCTTGTCTCCTGTTCTCTCCATACCTCGGTAAAGAGGACCACTAAATCAGATGTCTTTCTTACAGGAATCCCTCTCCTCTTGGTATAAACTGGGGCAGTATGATGCCTGAAGGCACCATGTGCCCCTGGACAGCTTTCTTGATTCCTCCCAAGGGGCTCTGCCCTCCCTTTAAAAACGAACCAAAATGAAAAACCTAGCACATTTTTACCTGAGGATGGGGTTATTCTAAGCAAAGCTGCTGCTATCTTAATTTCCCATGCAGACCTCTGGGCTACACAGTGCAGGTTCAAAGGAATTGTTTACTGTGCTGTGACTCAGACCCTACCAGTGTCTTGCACACAGGCCTTTGAGCAGGTTATTTGTCCTTCGCAAGTGAGCATGGCTCCCTCAGTGGCATATTTTGTGGTGGTGTCCACAACAGTTTCTCCAGTTGGCAAAGGTGCCCCCAAATCCAATAAGGTTGACTACAACAGTATAGACAGAACAGTGCTGTAGTGGCAAGTGTGTGTGCATGTATGTGTGTGTGTTTTACAGTGAAGTAATTCCCTAGCAATGTGCCCTTGTGTATGCACACTCAGCAACTCTCAAAGAATTTTAAATTATATGGAAGAACAGATGGGCATGGGAGAAGTAAGCTATTGGTGGGGACATAGCCATGGCAATTATTTTCAAGGTTTGGTCCAAGGTGCATGTGGCAGGCCACAGCAGTTTGTACCTTGGCGTAATGTCCAGTGTGAGATAGACTTAACAGCTAGAATGTTTCATTTTATTCCTACCTGCACCACTAAGCTGATAGCTGTTAGGTTCATTGGGATGGGTCCAGGCATAGTTAATTAGATCTGCTGAAATTAGAGGGGCTTAAATTACTCATGACTAATGTTAAGTCCCATTTATTTCAATGAGTCTAGCCTCCTCTGAACTGATGCCCTCCAGATGTTAGGAACTTGAACTCTCACCAATCCTAGTCAGCAAGGAAAATGGTTCAGAATACTGAAACTTTTGGTTCAATGGATCTGGAAGGTACTGAGTAGGAAAGACTGGTCTGATCCAAGCATAACTGGATTTATATCTGATGTCTGCCCCATACTATTCATTCTACAGCTGCAAGTACTGTTTCTTTGTTTTCAAAATTGATCATTTTGAATAACACTGTATATTGTGGGGTGTTGCTTTGTTGTTGTTGCAGATAATCCCATTCTCTTTCATTTTTAAACTTCTCCATGTTTACTGAATTCTAAGTTATTTTCTTTGGTAAAGGCTGTTTGAAAGTTTAAGGGGCACTGTGAAGGTGCTGCATATGGGATGAGGACATGTTTGTTCAGGATGTAGAATGATAATATAACAAAGCATCACAGAGCAGTTACATGGGGGGAAATGACACATTCAGAAGACTGAACTCAGATATAGATCTTTCAGCCTTTGTTTTGCTGAACACAGCCTGTGCTTGTTCCTGTTTAAAGTGGAACTGCACCCTCTTTAAATTTTCCCCAAATACTGTGTGTGAGAGAGGTAGAGAGAATAAACTTGCTTTCCTTCTCTTTCTCAGGACAGAGAACAAGAACTAGAGCAGCTGACCAAGGAGTTGCGGCAAGTCAATCTCCAGCAATTTATCCAGCAAACAGGGACGAAGGTCACCGTGCTACCAGCAGAACCTTCTGAACTGGAGGCTTCGCACACAGAGCTTGAGAGGGGTATGCAGTAGGATATAATTCTGCTTCTTCAGACAGTCCCCCCTCACAACCCCTTCACTGCCCCAATTTCTAACAAGGAATGGGGGATGGCTTGTCCCAGCTTTCTCTGAAAACAGCTGTTTGGATTTATGCATTTTCTGCTGATGGGTTGGGTTTTCAAGCATTAGAAGGGAATATTTTAGCACAAATGAGTAATACACTGGACTCCACTACCCCTGCTGGTTTTATGTTCTCCCAAGGCACAAATAAAAGTGCTTTAACCCTTCACGAAAGGGAGGAGGAAAGCAGCAGCAGCAGGGGATGATTCACTTGGCCAGGAGGCAGCCTCATGCCTTCTGGGGTTTTTGGACTGCAGTTCCCATCAGGGATTGTCCCTGTACTAAGTCTAGGGACGATCTTGTGTGGTTCGCCCATGTGCAGGAAAAGATGCTGGTAAATATAAGTCAAGAGGCACATAGAATGGTAAGCATGCCTCACAATGCCTTTCCTGTATCTAGTAGGGTTGCCACCCTCCAGAATTGGCCCAGAGTTTCTGGGAATCAGCATTAATCTCCAGGAGATTCCTGAAAGCAATCCAGGAGGTGTTAATATTGTCCTTGCGTAAAATGCAGGAGGATGAGGAAAGGAAACCTCCAGGAATAACCTGAGAACTGCAGATACCAGCATTGTCAAAGATAACAATCCCAGTATTTAGTGAGCCTTCCCTGTCACCATTTCTTGTCCCACTTCTTAAGCATGCAGAAAGACATACATGCATACTCACACACACCCTCTGCAAGGAAAAGAGAGTCAGTGGGGAAACTGCAAGCAGCAGAGGTAGGTGGATCACAACCCCTTTTTCACAGTAGGCCCAAACTCAATTGGGCCCGAGCCTATCTTGAAACAGAATGATTTTATTCTGTACAGGCTTGCCATCCCTTCCAAGTGCCATGAATTTCTCTCATGGCTGTTTCAAATCCAACATTAATGACAGTATTGTTAGAAAAACATGATGCAGTTTTCAAGACTGCATAAAACATGTAACATAGCAGTCACCTTCTACCTGCTTAAGCCCATGTATCCAGCAACTAGGATGCAAAAACACTTCAGATGTAGTGTAGTGACTACTTCCTTTGATTACCTATATCCCCTTTCTTCAGTCATTTAAACATGCAACTCAGCCAAGAGTTCTGTAGGGCCTTTAAAAGATTAACAAATGTACAGAAGAGTTTGGCTATAGATAGGAACAAGAGGAAATGTAAACATGGTACCAAGGGTGCAGTTTTCTCATTTTGAAGAATATCTCAGTTGTATACTGTTGCTTTCTGAATCTCATGGAGGTTTGGGCCCAGAATTTGCAGTTGGTATGATGTGTTGTATACATGCACAATATATCCATCTGGCTGTGGTATTCTTCGCATTTTTTCCATGCTTCTGGGCCATGGAAACTTCATTGTTTAATGTGGAGCAGGGCTTTGGACTATTTTTGCTACCATAGCTTTTACCCCTGTGGACTTGCTACAGAACTCAGTTCTGATAATTAGAGTCACCTTTCTCCAGTTGTTCTGGATTGCATATTGCATCGACTCCATCCAGCTTAGCAAATGATGAAGGAGGTTTGGTGTTATAGTCTAAAAGTTCTGGAGGGCACCAAGTTGGGAGGCAACTTAAATTAAATGTTTCCTGGAGTATTCAGGCCAGAAAAGAAACACTTGTATCCTTACCTTCAATATTGTCTCTCACTTTTTAACAGTAAAATAGTAAAGCATGGTCAAATTCAATCCTAACTCTTGATTATGTGAAAAACATGAAAATTAAAATGGAATAGCAATCGACAGATGGTAATTCCACATACACGTCTGAATCCAGTATTGAAGGAAGGGCTTTTGGGGGGAAAAGAGCTGGGAACAGCTCCCTGGCCTGACCTTCTTCACAGCAAAATCTCCAGCAAAGCGTCCCCAGCAAATCACCATGGACTATGGCAAGAGGCCAATTATATATAAAAACATTTATTTAATATTGGCTATTTTAAAAAAAACAGCTGACCCAAGGAGCTTATAGTCCAAATGTAGACAAATTGGAAGGAAGTAGTCATAGTTTGGCACTATGTACATATTTCATCTGCATGTTATGCTAACAAATGTCCTTTCTTGTAGAAGCAACATTTCAGACGGGATCCCTGAAACGCCCCAGTTCATCAAGACAGCTTCCCAGCAATCTTCGGATCCTGCAAAATCCACTGTCCTCTGGTTTTAATCCAGAGGGCATTTATGTATAACTATATACCTCTTCCTGAGAGGACTATGAAGGTACCATGGACCATATACACTTCCCTCCTGTTGCTCCTGTTCTCCCAGTGATGTGTGGAGAGGGGGGAAAAACTTGCTTTCAGAAACCAGCAAGCTTTAGTGTCTGGTTTTTTTATACATCAGATCTACAACAAAATTGGAATCCTGCCTCATGCACTGATGCTGATGAGGAAGAACTAAAGGAACCATGGAGGCACTCATCAGAAGTGTTGCAATTGCTGCCAAATAGCTATGGTGCAAATAGCTTCTCTGAAGCATTTGGAGAGAAGCATTATTCCTCAGCAGGCATAAATAGCTGATCAGAATGCAAGAAACTGTGCAACTGAGTTAGGTGTTAATTTATTCCATTCAGTCAGTGGATGAGTGAATGCTGACTTCTTGCCTAAGAGCTGGGTTACATATTAAGACCAACCCAAGGCTGCTCCTTAAAACAGCACTCCATGTTAAGTTTTTCCTCTCTACTGTCCACATGTAGAATCGCTTCTGCTGTACTCTGATGGCACCATGTTGCGCATTTCCCACCTCCCTCTGCACTTCATTGTGCACTTGCCTTACCTTAGCAGCAGCAGCCAGTGCAACTGGATGTCGAAACTGGGAGACATCATTCTAAACATTAGAGGGGAGAACTCAATGCGTGGATGCAGTTTTCAGCAGCAGCATCACGTTGGGCATAATTTGTAATTTCGTCTTAAGTCGTATTTGCAGTCTGAAGGGAGATGTATGCATAGATGAGTGTGTGTTCATGTGAGAGAGAATTTGCACGTGCATGCATGTGTGTGAGCACAGAAACAAATTAGTGGTTCATCATTACAGTTATCCGCAATGTAAAGTGATACTGAAGGTGAAAGGTGCAGAGTCTTTTAGAAAATTCTCTGATTTTCTTGTTCTGTTGCAAGTTTTGTTGTGTTAAAGCCATTGCTGGATTTTTGCGGTCAGTGGTGCGTCTACTTAAAGGTCCACAGGACTTCATCCTTACTTGGTAAGGATGTGTTTAGTATTTGATTGAAAATCTTGTAGCTAGACAGTATTTTATTATATGAAATTTATATTTGAGATATTTTGCCACAATAAATATGCTTATCAAGGAACAAAATAGTATAAAATATCTTCAGTCAAATGTCTTGCCAAAGGAGTTCGACACTGTTTTTTTTTTTGTTTGTTTGTTTGTTTTGTCTAGCTTTTTTTTTTTTTTTTTTTTTTTTGGGTAACCACTGTGGTGTTCTTGTATTATAGCCAGCTTTTCCAGTAGACAAAGTAATTCCATTTTGGGCCACTCATGACTCACAGAGTCAAACAACCTGCTAGCCATGTATGGTGGCCTGCTAAGTTCTTGGCAAACCTACCGGTTTTGCTGCACCAGAGAAGCAGCAAAATCAGAGACTTACTAAATGATCTATGACATGTACAGCTGGTGGAGGATATTCAGCTTTGTGGGGTGGGATGAGAAAGCTTGGAGGTCTAATGGAATGACTTGCTTACAGAAACACGGTATCCCATTTTTTAAAAAATTCTGTAAATGTTTGCAAGATGATTTCTGATCAGTTTGTTACAATACAAAAGGTTCTAAAGAAATTGTCCCTTAAAAAGAGTACTCATTCATTTATAAAATACCTTGTCACCAAGTACTACCCAAAATAATAGAGTGTAGGTCTAGAGAAGATTGCATGCCCAAGAGAAATAGGAGTAAGCACGTAAATCATTGTCCATGGCAAGTTTTGTTTTGGTAACTGGATCTCTACCTACTCAACTTGCTTCGAAACAGAACTTCAAGATCACAATGATTTCTGTGTATTTCATGTATTTCAAGCTACATGCCAGAATCAATCTGTTGCATTTTAATTCAGTCTGCATGAACATATGGAGGGCTCTTCGATTCACTGGGGGAATATATGGGCATTTGGTGGCAGAATTTTAGAGTTTGGTTTTGCAAAAAATTTAGCGTTCAATTTCTGAACATACAAATGACAACTTTAAGACAAAGGTCAGCTGTACTACCCACAGTATATTGTTTAATTGCTGACAGTGGAATCCATTTATGCTGCCGTTACCAAAGGACTGGGTAGCTTTACCGTAAAGCAGTGTACGGCTTTGTCCCCACTCAGAAACATTACACAAGCAAACACACTGCATGAAGGAAGATGGATGAACATCCTGAATCATTCTGTCAAGCAAGGGACTCTTGCCTCCGATTTGGCCTCAATTTATTCCTTTCAACCCTGTGGCTGGTTCCTTAGTCCAATAACAGGGGGAAATGGAGTTATGGAGCAGAATGAAAGATCCCTCTTGCTGACTAATGTTAACCTTGCAGTTTCTAGTTATCAGTGTAATGAAATTGAAATGGGATTCTCGTATATGGTTCAGTGCTTCAATCCAATTTGTTTCAGTTGTGCTTAAGCAGACTGGTTTTTATGAAGTATGCCCACAGGTAAGATTCAGCACATCCTTGTCAGGTCTTCTGCTCAAAGCAGGTGTTTTGCAGGGTCACATTATTAGATCAGGGAGTTTCCAGAAGTCAGTATACAGTATGTAAGCACCTCTTCATTCACAAAGCAGAATATGGAAGAGGCATCTCTCTTTATTCTTCTAAAAAGTAAAGTAGAATATGCAGAACTCCTAACTAGATTGATTTGTAGACCAATCAAAATTGAAAGTGAACTCCCTTTATGAAGTGTCTTCCTCATGTATAGCTATAAAGATGCAGTTCATGTCAAAAGAATCTGCAGAATAAGTGGATGTATTTTTAATGTTCAGTGTTAGCTCTAGAAATGTTAAATTTCAAATAGCCTCTAAAAATATAAAAGATATTTTCAAAAATAATCTATTAAAGAAAGAAAGTGGCTATTTTTCTTCTTCCCTGTGCTCAAATGCAATTATAGTCTGTGTTAATTTTTCCTGCAGTTTTCTCAGTGAAGTGTCCTTTTGCTGTGTTGGACTACAACTCTCATCAGTGACAGTAGCTGGCTGTGGTTGATGGGCCTTGTAGTCTGATACATCTAGAAGGTACCTAGTTTTGAAAAGCTGTGATGCAGTTTTGCCCATCAGAGCAGCTAATTCTGTGTCATTTGCATTAGGAATGCCCAAAACATTAACTTGTGGGGATGAAAAAATAGGCATGGAACATACACCACGAGGGGCATGCGGTAGCCAGATTGCTTGAGCACTTGCACCTTTCTTGCCAAGTCCAATAAAAGAGCACACTTTATTTTTGTATGTTTGAAGTCCACATGTGCATCCGCTATAGTGTGCATCATGTAACATAGCAATGGCAATACTCGTGATGGAGTCCTCCTTTGAAAAGGAAAGGAGAACCAAGGCCTTAACTTGTGTGTATGAAGCTTAATGTTCTTCTACATGCAAACCTGGAAAGTGTCCACCAGCGAGACCCATTGCCATAGCTGGTACTCTTCTTTTGCCAATAGGTTGGCAATGGAGGGGCCAGAGAAACATCCCTCAGGAGCCTGGATTCGGCCTAGTGCCTGTCTTCAAACCTTTACCTTTAAAACTGGCATTTGAAAGCTTAGTTTACATTGTCTGGGGGAAGTGAAAGAAAGGAATGGTTGGGTACTGCACTTCCTTTTGTACTAAAAGCACTAAGAGGAAGAAGTGGGCTGTGAGGAGGTGGGGACCTGAATGGCAAGCATTCATTCATACTCAACCCCATTTTCTAGGTTATCTGTACATGTGAATCAGGCCTCTGTGTTCCTAGGATAAGTGGGATTTCTAGGTAAGCAGCTGGGTAATGGTGGACAAATCCAAAAGCCAGCCATGACTCATCTTATCCTGCCTCAGGCAGCCTCAAAAGAGTGGTGTAACATTCTGGAGTGCTCTTGGCCACTGCTGTACAGAACTGCACCTCCCTCCCCTCAAACACGCCACGGAATCCTCTTCTGGATTCTGTGCATCAGGGTTCGGCAGCAGATGCGCAGAGTTTCCTCAGCACATTAGTCAATGTAGAAAGGGCTCCCTTGAGGGCAGAAATGTTCAAACTCAACTTCTGTAGGTTTTGCAGCACGTAGTTTTTGAGCAGCAATGGTTAGTTATTACGCCCTTTACTGTTTTTGCCTGGAAAAACAGGGTCAACATCAAAACAAGAGTTTATTGCGGGAGGCTTAATGTAGTCAGTCCGTTCTAGCCCCATTCACCACACTTTATTTGGTATGAAGTGAATTATGTACGTACAGTCAAATGCTTCCAGTGGTTAGGGACATCATTTAGCATGTGAAATAATTCTTCTAAATTGCAATATCCAGAACCTGTTGGCAGATTCACATGACCCGAGTGTTTGTCAGCTTGTTTAAAAGCATGCCCCCATATAGACATTTCCTTTGTGAATACTAAGAATAATTGGGTTTTCAGAGAAGGAAAGGGAATGTTGATTTTCTTTTAAAGCCATTGCCCAAATCTTCCTTCCTCAGCCTGGTACCCTCTGGGTGAGTTGGACTGCAACTCCGACCAGGTTGGGGAGAGCTGGCCTGCCTTCTCTAAGCTACCTACTTAGAAGGCGTGAAGCACTGTATAGACTGCAGTGAAACAGCAGGAAAAATACACGAAGTTGGTCCAAACATGTTTGTTACAGAGTAAGGAACAGAAAGTTCTTAAGTCCTCCTCCACTGTGCATATAAACTTGAAGGAAAATGGGATATAGACAGATAGGTGCCAGTGAAATTGCTAGCCATGCTAGCAAAAATAGCCAAGAGTGTTGTAGCACCTTACAGGCATTTTTTTATTTTTTTGGGATAAGCATTTGTGGACTTCAGCCCACTTCGTCCAATGCATGGAGTGTTACCGAGTGTTTCAAGTATAGATACAATATGTATGCATTGGTGAGGTGGGGAGAATTGCTAGCAAGTGAGGCCAAACGGAACTTATATGCAGATGATACTGACAGTGACAATCATGTTATTAGCCATGGCCATTCACCATAGAGTTGCTGCTGATAACACAAGACAGCCTGATATTAGGTAAGCCAATTAGCACATGTAAAAATCTTTTACCCCAGTTCAGACCTCTGACAGGAGTTAACAGTGTTGATGACTTCCAGTTATGTTCCCTTGCTCTACAGCTGCTGTGGTGAGCTCAGTGATAAAGTGTTGTGGCACGCTGAATCCTATTCTCCCATCTGATTTTAAGTATTAACATTTCTGAGGTCAGCTTTGTGCTATACAGAATGCAGAAGAACAGTGGTGAGCAAAGATGGCATGCCTCACATTGAAAGATGGGCAAGTAAATGAGCCCTTCATGTTGTGAGTGACATGTTTAGGTCTCATTCACAGAACATTTATGCTGCCGCAGCAGACATCCGGGTTCGTTGTAGAGGCTGGTCTCTGTGTTAGTATCCTTGTGATATGCCCTCATACAACTCTGTAGCTGTCTTAGGTTGCTGGTCTTGGTGGAGCTCCAAGACTCTTGTTTTTGCTGTGACAGATGAACATGGCTACCCTCTGGAAATAGTCCTGCTAGTGTAGTGCTTCCATCCCTTTTTCCTCAGATGGATTTTGCAAGTACTTGCATGCCACTGCTGAGTTCTCATTAAAGGTAACAGAAGTGGTGAAATTGGGGGTGTAAGCTGTGTGTTAACCAGCATGGAGTGAAAGTGAAAGCTGCTTTTAGCCCATTTTATGTCTTTGAAGCAGGGTGTGCAGTTTGTGGCCCTTGATGTTGCTGGATGGCAGTTCTCCTCAGTCCTAGACATCATATTCTATGGTGAGGGATGATACAAGTTTGTAGTCCAACCACTTCTAGTGAGTTGTGTGTTCTCCAGCTTTAAGGTGATGGTGTAACTGGTGAAAGCACCCATATGTCTGACAAGATAGCCAAATGTATTGTTAGAGAGAGTAATAGAGCTTTCCCCAGTGACCACACTTGCTGGGGTTGATGGAAGCTGTAGTCCCAACACATCAGGAAGGCAGCAGGTTGGAAAAGACTGGGAATGTAGTTGGAGACCTGAAGGGAAGTCCAGTGAGGCAAGGAAATGCTCACTGTTCTTAAGTCTGTGCATCCAGGTAGCGTGATACCTTGCCTTTTGTATTTGCATTCATTTTAAGAACTGCAGTGTCTTTCAAAAGGACATTGGTGATTTATATAATTAGTATGAGAAGGTTTGGTAAAATTGTTTGCATTGCGCAGGCACAATATTGCACATTTATGGGGAAGTGGAGAGAATAACTTTCTAATTTTTTCCCAAACTCTAAAAGTTACACAAATTCCTAGTGTGCTTTACCTTATGTGAATTGGGCCTTAATTATCCATGTAAATAACAAAACTGTATTCTGATTTATTTTCCATTATTGAATAGTACTGTGCTGTATTTTTTAAAAAAAAGTCTTGAAAGTGTTAATTTTATATTATAGCTCTTTTTTTAGACCATTGATTCATGTACATTTATTCTATTTGTTACAGTATTTTAATGTTTTGGATGAAGGCCATCAGCTATATGGAGATGACAAAACAAACCATTCTGTCAATTTATTTATTCAGTATTTTTGCTGCTTTACTTTTTTGAAATAAAATTTTCATTGCCAGTACAGTGACTAATTGAAAACTGTGCCTCTGTTTCAATTGGGTGTAATATTGTACAGATAACAGAATTAAGGTAGGTTGCTAACTGGTATTTAAATGAGAGAACAAGCACTAATATAGCTTTGCATTTAATAGGTATGCAAAATAGTTGCATGATTTTGCTTTGAATTCCAGTTCAAAATAAAGCGACTCCTTCAGCTAAATACTTAAAATCCTGCTTAAGCTGAGTGGTCTGTATATTGTTAAAGTTGCACCAAACCAGTAGTCACAATAAAACCACATGGCTATGAGGCATGTGATGGGTACCATTTTCTTCATCTGTGGCAGATCCCTGCTTGTGGTGAAGACTCATGTGTAGTTGAACATGCTTGGGCTTTGTTGTTGGAGATGAACCTTATTTATTTTTTATTTTATTTATCTAGCACACTTATATGCCGCCCCATTCTCCGGAGCCTCAGGGCGGCTTACAAACATAAATAAATACATAACATTAATACCATTATATAAAGTCAGAGACATCCTGGCCAAAATTGTTAAAATCAATAAATAAAATCAATTAAAATGACATTTAAATAAAAAGGTCTTGGCCTGGCTCCGAAAAGCAAATAATGATGGCACCAGGCAGACCTCTCTGGGGAGCGCATTCCATAGGTTGGGCGCCACCTCATAGAAAGCCCTTCTCCGGGTACTCACCCTCCTAATGTCCTTCACAGAGGGCTCCTGGAGAAGGGCCTCTGCCGCCGATCTCAAGGGGTGGGAGGGCACATATGGACGTAAGCACTCCTTAAGGTAACCAGGTCCCAAAGCCGTTAAGGGCTTTATAGGTGATAACGAACACCTTGAATTGGGCCTGGACTTCAATGGGGGCCAGTGAAGCTGACGGAGGACAAGAGTCATGCGAGCGCAATGCCCCGTCCCCGTCAGCAACCTCGCTGCTCTGTTTTGCACCATCTGAAGTATCTGGACCGCCTTCAAGGGCAGCCCCACGTAGAGTGCATTACAGAAGTCTAGTTGGGAAGTCACCAATGCGTGTGTCACTGTTGCCAGGCAGTTGTTCTCCAGCTGATGAATCAGCCGAAGCTGAAAGAAAGCGCTCCTCGCACCACTGTTACTTGATCTTCCAGCGAAAGTTCGGGATCGAGGAGCACTCCCAAGCTGCGGACCTTGTCCTTAAGAGGGAGTGCAACCCCATTCAGGACAAGGTCAAGGTCCCCTTCCCCGAAGCCCGACCCACCTACCAACAGGACTTCCGTCTTGTCTGGATTGAGCTTCAGTTTATTGGCCCTCATCCAGCTCATGACCTCGGCCAGGCACGGGTTCAGCACAGTCACTGCCTCACCTGGATTAGTTGAGAACGAGAGGTAGAGCTGGGTATCATCAGCATACTGATGACTCCGCAGCCGACACCACCTCATGACCTCTCCCAGCCGTTTCATGTAGATGTTAAATAGCATGGGGGACAAAATGGATCCCTGCGGAACTCCATGGCACAGCTGCCATGGCGCAGAGCCATAGTCCCCCAGCACCACCTTCTGGAATCGGCCATTGAGATAGGAGCGGAACCACTGCAAAGCAGTGCCTCCAACCCCCAGTCCCGCTAGCCTATCCAGAAGGATACCATGGTCGATGGTATCAAAAGCCGCTGAGAGGTCCAGAAGAACCAACAGGGACACAGTCCCCCTGTCCTTCTCCCTGCACAGGTCATCGTACAGGGCAACCAAGGCAGATTCAGTACCATACCTGGGTCTGAAGCCGGACTGAAATGGGTCCAGATAATCAGTTTCATCCAAGAGTGCTTGGAGTTGTCCCACCACCACCCGCTCCAACACCTTGCCCAAATATGGGATGTTGGCCACCGGTCTATAATTGGTGGCCATTTCTGGATCCAGGGAAGTTAATCAAAGGAGATAGAAAACAACTATTGTTCTTTGCAGGGCATATAGAGTGTTTAAAGGTGCAAAAAGAAAACTTTGTGCTAGGTGGTCAGCTAATGCCCCCATCTGAGAGAGAACATCACTAATAGGAACTAGGTGTCCTGGAGTGGGAAGAGAAAGGATAGATGCACATGAGAACCAGGTGGTTAGGAGAATACAAAATTAGAATTAAAGTTCCTGTGACAGCAAACTGGCAGCCTCCACAGGCACTTAAAACCTTTCAAATGAGTATGCTGTGCTTTGTGGTTGTTGTAATTGCCTTTGGAAGGGAAGGGAAACCATTTTCTCACCAAAAGTATAATCTGCCCTATACCCAAGTCTGTGATAATAAGTGGAAGAGACCACCTGGCTACTTCTACAGTTAATTTTTAGCAACGTGTGTGTGCATAATATAGCAACCATCCATACTAGCTCCATCATTTCCATTACTACAAGATTTTGTTTCCTCTGAATCTGCACAATGCAACAGCTATCCCACGAGTGCCCAATATTTTGGGGTCAATGGGGATATTTGGAATCTTGGGAATGTGTCATGTGTGCTCTCACAAGATGACTGCCGGAGTGTGTAGGGCTAGTCAGAAAATGCACATACTATGTTCATGTAATTTTCACTCTCTATTCTGGTTTGTTTTGTACCGGGCTTGTGCCCTGTTTATCTCTTGCACTGTTTCTCTATGAGTGTTTCCACTGTGGATAAGTGATACACTCTTGTTCAACATAAACTGGCAATGGACTAGACCTGGTTTTCATTCCCTGCATTCCTGTCCTTTGCCTTCCACAACATTTACCAATCTTTCTGCCATTTTATGAGCAACTGAGTTTCCTCTGAATATTTGTTTCTCAGGTAATATGTTTTTGATCCTTCCCCCCCAGGGCTGTTCAAGAGTGCACTGAGGCAGCACACTTCCCCACCTCCTTTTCTTATCAGCTTCACAGCTGCAGAGCTGTGTAGTTATAAAGAGCATCTATGTACAGTTGTGCATATCCAAACATCTAGCACAAACAATCACCTTTTGGTGGCAGTCCAAGGAACCCATGCCCCCCCCCCCCCCCGCAAAGTGTGACTCTTTCCAAACAGTGTTGGTTTTGGTTGTTTAAATCCTGGGAATCCATTTCTATGGTTTTCCCAGAAGTATCTTTATTGCTTATCATCAGACAGTGGCACATATTGTAAGATGCAGAGGTCTTTTTTTTTCTTTTCTCTCTTCAAATTTATATCAGAATCGTAATGCTCTACTCAGCTTTAAAAAGGGTTTTACCAAAAACAAGACAGTGCTGACGTGTTCAGAGTAAAAGAGTTCAAAACCTGAGCACTGGCTGTTAGATATGCTGTTTGGAAACTGCACTCAAAGGCAAAAAAAATAAGTAGTTCTTATGGGGTAAACTATTTGGCATGTTCTCCATTAATTTTAGTTCCTGTAAAAATATAATTACCTTGATCTTTCAATTTTGTAGAAAGGGGAGGGGAAAGGACCATGGTCTAGGGTTCACTAGTGCTCTGATATTACTCTCCCCCTCCCTAAACACACACAAACACAGTACTTGATAAAAAAAGAGATCTTGAAATCTGATGTTTCTTGATGAAAACCGCCACATATCTTGCTGAGCAGTAGAATGGCATGGCTCAGCTTTTGCAAGCTTGAAATGCAATGTAGTTTACACAAGAGGGCAGTAATATCCTTCCATATTTGGGAGACAGCTGTAATACATGCATACAATCCCCTCTTAGCAAATTAGAAGTTAACATTTACTTTAGAAGATGGTTGAGGCAATGAAGTTCCTCTTGTGCTTCTCCTGACAATGTACAGTCACCAATTATTTTTACATATTACATTTATTCCTCACCTTTACCCTGAGAAGCTCATGCTGGGGCACCTTCCCCTTTCCCCTTGTTACAGCCCTGGGAGGTAAATTAGGCTACGAGGTGGTGAGTGGCCCAAGGTCATTTGGCAAGTGTGTGGCTGATTGAGGATTTGAACCTAGGTCTCTCTGGTCTTACTCTTGAATCAACCGGTCTCAATGGGTTTAGAAGCACTCAACTGCACAGAATTTCAGCCACCATCCAAGTGTGCCTGCCTTTTGAATGCACTGCATAGGTAGGGCCTGACAAGTGATGGGGCAAAGTTGTGAGGGGCAACAGTAGAAGTGAGGAACCTGTACTTTGCAGCATGTTATGGCCAATGGGAAATTGGGAGTCCAACAATACCTGGGAGGGCAAGGATGGGCAACTTGTAGACCAAAACATCTGGAGGGCAACATCACTCTCTAGCTCTAGCCAGGGATCATAGAAATCTACTGTAGGCCTCAACACCTGGGTGGGAATGCAAACTGCCCTTCCCTGGGATAGGGCCATAAGCTTTAATAGGCTGCTCTTCAGCCGTGGAGACCATGCTGTTGTTTAGCTTTCTTTTAATACAAGCACCCAAGAAACAATCCAGTGTGCTTTGTATAGAGCAGGAGTGGGGATATTCCACAATCTGGGGGTGGGAAGGGGGTCTCTTCTCCAGACCTGAAGGGAATCTCTGAGCACAACGATATAGTAAGGCTGTAGATACAGACATGGGTGGTACACCAACACAGAGATCTACCCCCATTCAAGGAGATTGCTATCAAAGGCAGGAAAACAATTCCACTCTTTCTTTGAGAGAGAGTAAAACCTGTGGTGAGGAATATCCAGGGATGTAGGAGCTTGAGGGTTAACAGAACCAGTCAAACCTCTTTTTCTCTTGATGAGGCCCAGGTAGAGTGAGTGGAAAATTGGATGATTTACTTCTGGGTCTTACCAATGGGAGGAGATGAGCTCCATCCCAAGGACAAGGGGCCAGCCTTTATTAACTTAACCTTTCTGTGCTTCATTGCTTGCAGCTAGGAGGGAGGCTGGAGTGGGGCCGGGGAGGAAGATGGCAGGCAATCCTAGGATTAGTTGCTGGATATCATCCTGTTCCTAGGAAAGGGGGATGCTAAAATCAAGGCTCCAGAGATGGTCTTTTTCCTCCTTCCATACAGGAAAGGGGCAAAATGTGTTTTCCTGACCAGGTTTTTGGACCTTTGCTCTTGGAGGTAATATAGTTAGTGTT